CTTGAGGGTGGTCCCCGGGGGGAGTTAGTTATACAATGTTCACTTGTAGTTGAGTTGGGCCTAGAAGGTCAAAGTAAAGCATGAGGTTGGGTAAGGAAGGCGAGGCCCACCTAGCACATCAATGGACGAGGAATTTCGTTTTGTTTTTATTTTAGAGCAAACTTAACACAAGCCCCTCAGCCATGATTTATTTTAGGCCAACCCTAGCCCAATGTTTTCTCAAAGCCCTAAACTGCCCAGTGCTTGGATCCCAAAGTCTCCAATCTTGGGCTCAAGGAGTTGCAGGTCGTGCAGATCTAGTTCTTTCCAATCTTCAATGAAGGGGTCCTGTGCTAGTGGATTGCACAAATTCAATGCTTGTGATCTCCCAAACCAGAAGTGATTTTGACAAACCGTTTTTTCTGTGGTTATATATACAAGAGATGCCGTGGAATTGAGCTTTCTGACAGGTGAGCTTCATACATAGCATTTCCATGAACATATATATATATATAAAGAATGTTTCCGGTGGAGACTTGAGATAGCTTTTTTCTAGTTAACATGGCAAGAGAATGGCACATGTATTTCCCCTTCCTTTGCTTTGCAGGGGCTAAATTACAAATGGCACATATAATGAAAAGGATAGTGCACTTTAACTCATAATGATCTTTAAATTACTGATATCCAAATTAGACTAAGGTTAGTCTCTTAAAATTGAAACGGTTCAGAATTGAAGAATTTCTTTCTATGCCTATGATCAAACCCTAATCTGGACATCATAAGGCCCACAATAATGGATTGGTTTCTAATTAAATAAGTAATCTGCAGAGGCTAGAACTATATGTGATTGATAAGTTTTTGTCTTCTTCAGATGGCGTTATTGCCGTGCCTGTTTCAGATTGAAGTCAGACATCAATGCCAGTAAAGTAAAAAGGACTTTTTCCAAAATCAAAATGATTGCTGGTTTCATTAGCAAATTTCAGCTCCAGAAGCAATCGTGCACACAGAAATAATGCCTGCCTGCATGGTTAGCTATATATTGCCTAACATTGTGCATTGACAACGCTAGTTTCAGGCTTCATTCTATGTCACTAAGATTACAACCAGAACTAGAATAAAGCATAGGCTCAAGAACACATTACACATATATGATCAACATAATGAAATGAATTAATTAGCGGTAAGCACTCCGACTTCCCCCCTTTTTTTTTCTCATTTCTTCTCCTCCTGATTTCTTGTTTCTTGTTTTTTCCACCACAAAACATACACATTTTCTTCGAGCAAAAAAGACTTAAAATGACACTGAAGAACTAAGTGACCCTTTTTTTTTTCCTTCCAAGTCAACCACATTTTTTTATATATATATATCTATGCCTCTCCTCTCATTCATGAAGACTATGAAACAATACTCATGGAACTAAATAAAAGGAAAAAAAAAATCAACAAGACAAACTTGGTATATAGAAAAAAAGTTTATGCATAATCAGCAATGTTCTTTCCCTTGCCAGTCTGGTCTACCTAATGTGAACTCCAAGCTGGGGTTCTTGCAATCCATATTAGAAGATACCAAGTAGCTTTTCAGCTGAGTCGAATTACATTCCTGCAGTATTAATTAAGACATTTTCATGTTACCTCCTAAAAGTGAATAAAATTCTTATCCCTTCTGCTAGATTTCTGGAAAATTTTGATCTACTCAAATTTTAAAAAATTTTAGACTTTGGATGGTACCTCCATTTGTTGTCCAGACCTTTGTTGTGACTGGAATGTTCCTTGTCTGTGCCCATCAAAGTCGCTGGCGTTTGTCTGGGGCCATGCCTCTCTACCACTGAAATAATAACATAAGTTTTAATTAGCTTGAATTTATATTGACATGGTGCAGCAATATCAATATTTGTAAACCAATGCATATAATTATTTAGATGAGTACAGTTGATAGACCATCTTTTATAGTTGAATGCCACAGATTCAGCTGAAGCTTAATCAATTAATTGGAATGGTGACATTGTCTCTTATTTCAAAGCTAATTAAGAACAGCTCAACTATCATTTTCACTACCTACAAGGGTCAATTTCTGTCATTTTCCCTAATAAAAAAGTCCAATATAAGTCACATTTGATACGTGCACAAAGGCTATAAAGGAAGGGATCATGAGCTAAATATATGCATGGAGACAGACGCTAGGCCCTTGTACCTATACAAGGCATGTCATTTCAATGAATGCTATTAAGTGCTTAAGAACAGCCTGAAAAGGATGTTACAGGCAGCAGGGAGAAAGATGTGTGTGATGGAAATGTTCTTAATTGCTATGACAATTGAGGAAATATCAACACAGAAAGTGTTAGTTGCTTCCATTCTAATTAAGTACTGGCCCTAAAAGTCATACAATGTTCTATTTTAGATAAGGCAGTATCTAAGATCAAAGCTTTTGCCTGCTTGTGAAAATCTACCAGTACCTTTACATTTACAATTAGTGTAATAAAACTCCATTATAGGCAGAATTTTAGTCGCTAGTCCTGTTACTCTATTTCTGTCTATCTTTAATGGCAGCTGGAAATCATTTATTTATGCAGTGATTGCACCCAAAACCTAAAGCTCCAGCGGGGAGTCATGTCAAAGTGAAGGTCCCTGTTGGTTTACATCTCTATTTAAAGAAACTTTTCTAGCCGAAGAACACCCTTGCTGGTAAAACCCAAGAAAGAAAGCAAAAATCTGAATTAATCTACATGCTATTTAGTGGAAGTAGGTACTAATTATAATTAAATACTAATTGATGAAACAATGAGCAACATTGGCATTTTTAATTTGAACTTTGAGAAAAGGACGGCAGAAAATAAGTCAAGATGGGAACCGATCTTTTTGTTGTTATATGCAATGTGTCCTCGTGATGGGAATAAGAACCAGCTGAGTTGAACAGTAACATGATAATATATTGTTATTCTAAAAAGAAAAAGAAAAAGTGTACGTAGCTGTGGGAATTGCTTTCTTTCTTATCCTAATTAGCGTTTGATTGCGTTTTGGGAACTTTTCTATATATATATAATGGCGTAACACATTAAAGCTACAAATCTCATGTCAGCAAGAAAATCTTCGGAAACATAAAAGATCGCAAAAGAAAAGAAAGAAAAAGAAGAACATTATATAATACACTATAATATAGAAAGCAAAAGCTGTAGCTGCCTGCATTCAAGAGAAGAACTCATTTTATTCCTCAAAAAACTGGCGTGAACGTGAGTGGGTTTCGGATTTCTAAGTTGATCAAGTACAACGCAAAAAGAAAATAAAAGAAGAAGAGGAAAAGCATTCTATTTCATTAGTCTATTATACTCTCCTTTAAAAAAAGTGTAGGGCATGCATAGCATGTGTGTGTGTATAACGCTTTCTGATGTCTAGCATGCCAATTGCGTACCAAAAAACATTAAAGAGAGTCGCACAAAAGAGAGAAAGAGGTACCTTGAAGAATTACTCCAGAGAGTGGTAGCAGCAGAAGTAGTAGTTGAAGGGGAGTCCATGTCTTGTTGTGCTGTTGGCCCATCTGCTTGTACTACTCTTTGCAGTCCACCTTGCTCATTTGCAGTCCTAAAACTGCCAATTGGAGCCATGTCTTCTTCTCCAGATCCATCTGATATTGCCCTCCAACAAATCAATATACATACCCACCAAAAAGCTCAAGTAAAATGCACAAACATGCACATACACACTTTTATACACACGGAAAAAAAGACAATGTTCTTGAATTTACATATACATGTGTTGGATGTGTGTGTACATGCATGCATGCATTGTCTGTATATATGTATGGTACTTGTGCTTAAGGGATAGCAAGATCTTTGATTAATAGGGTTTAGTGCTTAACATGATTTACTAATTAATCAATCGGGTTACAAAGCTATCCAAGTTGGGGCAGTGAAAAGCTAAAAACAACACCTAATAACAGAGAAGGACTAAC